AGAGAGAGAGAGAGAGAGAGAGAGAGAGAGAGAGAGAGAGAGAGAGAGAGACGGCCACAGTTTTGCAAAAGTCAGAAAATGTCTTATATTACTGTGATTTATTACATACCTCCTTTTTCTTTCTCAATGACAATAACAAGTTTATTTATCGGGCAGGGAGGATTTCGTCTTTCCCGAGTTTTCTTGGCGATCTCTTGAGAACCGTAAGCAGAGTACAATTACAATGATTAGTCCGTTTATTAAAAAAATGGAAATTTTACAGAAATTACAACCCTCCAATTGTTTTCAACTATTCAAAATTTCTGTTCTTCATTGCACTGAAAACCACGTATAAAAACTCACATTTGCATCTAAACAAACTTCCACATAGCCCCACCTATGAGTCCGTCTGTCTGTTTGTCAGTCAGTCTGTCTGTCTGTCTGTCTGTCTGTCTGTCTGTCTGTCTGTCTGTCTGTATTATTTTTCAAATTAGTCAAGTGTTAAGAAAGGTTGCGGGTGCTCTGGTGTTTGTTGCTCCTTCTGTCCTATCAGACATCCTGTCTTCCTTATGTATCTCTCCTCTTTTTGTGGGTTTCCTCCTCCTTGTTTTGTTTTAGTAGAGGTTTTACGGCGCTCACAACTGCATAAGGTCATGTGAGCGCCTTTCCTCCTTCTTTTCAGAGTGTGTTTCTCTCTTGTAATAATAATAATAATAATTGCATTTATATAGCGCATATCCATGCTCAAGAGTTTGCTAGTAACACCTCTAATTACCGACATGTAATTAATGACCTTCTCTTTATGTTGCAAGTACTATCAAACTCTAGAAAAGAAAAAACCCGTCTAAGTCCAAGATTGAGAAATTTTGTTTGACATTCAGAAATTAAATACAACTCGTCACAAACGATGTTTTGGGAAATTCTAAATTCTCATTTTTACACAGTTTGCAGGAGATCTAACGGTGTGCACTGAATTCCCTGAAATGTTTTGCGTCAATCCGCTAACTGGGTGGATTATACCTGATCGAGTCACGAACATACTGAAACAGTTTGACTTTGACATATCACGTGTTTCGTAAATAATACGTTATTATTGTGTTCATTTGGTGCATACTGGAACGTAGATTAAAAAATAATCATTAGCAATAATTAAGCAATGATTATGTATTTTGGGGAAATGATTAAAGCTTAGTTCACTTAATAAGTTGTCTTTCTCAAGCGTTGTTCGATATTAAAGAGCAGCTCTTCAATAGAGTAATTTTTATAATAATTTGCTGTACAACGCGAACTGAAAAAAAAAACCATAATAATAATATTATATAATAGACTGTGTGTTTCTCTATATTTTTGTTCGAACAGTGGGGTGTGTTTTTCGTTGGGGTTTTTTTCTATTTCTAATAAGATTCGGTAAGGGACTACAAAATAGTATGTAATTTCCCAGATCGTTCAGAGAAAAAAATCGCC